CTAAGGACTGATTTTTCAATAGTCAGATAAATGTTACCAGAGGAATAAAATTGTTGCTGTCACTGTCTTATACAAACATTCTGACGCGACAGCATCATAAATTATTCCCCAGGTAACTTTTATCTAACCATTGAAAAATCAGCCCAAAAACAATTAAAAAAATTAAAGATCGTTTTTTTAATCTTTTTATATTTGATTACAGCTCCATATTATAATGTACACAAAAATTACTTTTGGATATTATACATACAGACTGACAGACCGACAGACGGACAAACAAACACTTGATTAACTACATACATTACACCGATCAAGGCCATCATAACATACATAATATATTAACTTCGAAGACAGATCAAGAAGATGTAACATGGAAAATTTTTACATATATCACAAAATAAAATCCTTTGTTTTGTCCGTCTGTTAGAGATAAACTCGATTTTTTTACGTGATAAGTCGGCAAACGGGCAGACGGATTACCTGATGGTAAGCAATAACCGCCGCCCGTTGACACACGCAGCAACAGAGGAGTTACGAGTGCGTTGCAGACCTTTTGGGGCTTAGGGATTGGGAGAGGGTAAGGATCGGACCTCCGGTAACCTCACTCACACGGCGAAACACAACGCTGTGGTTGTTTCACGCCGGTTTTCTGTGAGGCCGTGGTATTACTCCGGTCGAGCCGACCCATTCGTGCCGAAGCTTGGCTCTCCCACACTTAAAAAACTAAAATAAATCCCTTAAGTTGTAGGAAAAGCTGCATATAAAGACTGTGACGCCTAATTTAATGAGTAATAGAAAGCGAGCCAGCCAGCCAACTCAGCGTCATCAATTATTATTCTAAGAGCGGATTTTTCAATGGTCAGATAAAAGTTACCTGGGGAATAATCATGATGCTGTCGCGTCAGAATGTTTGTATAAGACAGTGACAGCAACAATTTTATTCCTCGGATAACATTTATCTGACTATTGAAAAATCAGCCCTAAAATTTACTTATAAAACTAAATACATTAATTACACTATGCACAACAATTTGTCCGCGATTTATAAAAAGAGATTTGATTCTTAAAACAGTCATTTTTTGGGGGCTTGAATAGGTAAAAATGTTTACATGTGATCATTAGCTCATGACGATACCTAAGTACGTGTGTCGCCTGGACATTAAACCTCGCTACATCCTTGTTGACTGGACATCTACACTACATGAGCTGCTGTTTACATGTGAACATTAATTGTTGACGATACATTTGAGAAAATTATATTGTCTTAACAAGGTTTTCGTAATTATTATTATTTATGTTATATTTTGTAGGAAATAATTATTGCTACATTGATCAATAATGAATTTATAAATGAATAATATTCTTCTGCAATTTTAACAATTAACTGTTCAGCTACATTATAACTTACGATTTTGTTTATAACACTGTCCCTACACTTATTCCGAATTTTCTCCTGTGTCGTGGGTGCGTTTACAAACATACAGTTCCACATACACATCACACCCAGACCCGAAACAACAATTTTAGAATCACACAAATATTTTTTTAATGCGAATAAAACCTGGGACTCTTTACACAGAAGCCAGTTGCCCAGACTCTGTGCTACCTACAAAAACCAATATATAATAAAAAATATATTGACTAAGCTTGAGATATTGCAGAAAAATATTGCACATTAAAAACTCTTTTATATAATACAAATTACATTTACAATAACAATATTATTATTATATAAATAATAATACACAGTAGCAATTATAAATTACTTGTCTTTTTTTTGACTAATCAAAAATGACAGTTTTTTTTTAAAGAGTAACCATGGAGTTTGTGGGCGTTTGTTAAATACGTGAGTTGTTTAAGGGAGGTCGAGTCAAATCTCATCTAATCTTACGTTGGAGGGAGGAGGGGTTTCCGCAAAAATCATGAATTTTTTACTGAATAAAGCAAAAAAAAAACTATTTTCGTCCATTTGTTATGTTATGCCGTGGTGGACCGGAGGTTAAGGAGCCCGCTTCTCATGCATTAGGGTGTGGGTTCGAAACCTGGCAAGTACCAATGTGACATTTTCCGAGTTATATGTACTTTCTATGATTATTTAGACACCACTGACATACGGTGAAGGTAAACATCGTGAGGAAACTTGGACTTATAATTTCTAATTATAAGTTAGAAATCGCCAAACGGTATTGAGCAAGCGTGGTGACTAATGCTCTAACCTTCTCCGTATGAGAAGAAGCCTTTGCTCAGCAGTGGGCACTTATAGGCTGATGATGATGATGATGATGATGAATCCAGATTTTACATGCTTACCCAAGCGTACTCGTAATATGATTAAGATCATTCCCAAATTCGTTGTAGGAACCTAATTTTCTTTTCTTTTTACAATAATAATAAAGCGTTAAGTAAAAAGCCCACATTTTGAAAAATCTCACGTAATATTAGGGAATAGGGGGAGAGTCTGAAATGTCAAAAAAACACGCCACGTATTTTAACAACTCTCCCTTTTCTCGCTCAAACTTCTCCATACGAATTAATATTTTGGTAAAAACATATTTTTTTTAAATATAATCACGCTCTATATACTTAGTCGGGTCATAAGTTCTGTCAAAACCTTATATTTTTAATTTTCGATTACTGGCCAGAAATTCTTCGACTTATTTTAAAAATAGAACTTTCGCGCTTGTAGAAAATAAAAAAGAAATTATTTTTTATTCATTTTTAAATATGGAGTGGTCGAATAAAGAAGACAGAATCGCGGTTATCGCGTTGCACCGCTGTGGTTACGCGCCAAAAGACATTTTCAATATTCTTCAAAATTTGAAAATAACGTTACGGTTTGTTTATCGTACTATCAAACGATACACCGAAGAGTCAAGCTTCGAAGATCGTAAGAGAAGCGGCCGACCTCGCACAGTTCGGACACATAAGGTCATCAAAGCAGTGAAGGCGCGAATCGAACGAAATCCCGTACGTAAACAAAAAATCCTAGCTCTGCAGATGGGGCTAAGCAGAACCACTGTTAAAAGAGTACTAAATGAAGACCTGGGACTACGAGCTTATCGTAAAAAGACAGGACATTTTTTGAACGAGCGTTTAAAAAAAATTAGGCTAGACAGATCCCGCGCTTTGCTACGACGGTACGCGGGAAAAAAATACCGCGAAATTCTTTTTTCGGATGAAAAAATTTTTACTATTGAAGAAAGTTTTAACAAACAAAATGATAAGGTGTATGCCCACAGCAGTGAAGAAGCAAGCGCGCGTATTGCGAGGGTCCAGCGTGGGCATTACCCTTCCTCATTCATGGTTTGGCTTGGAGTCTCATATTCAGGCGTAACTGAGGTGTTTTTCTGTGAAAAAGGTGTGAGAACTAGTGCCGAAGTTTATCAAAATACTGTCCTAACAAACATAGTGGAACCTCTTTCTCAGACAATGTTCAGGAACAGGCATTGGATATTCCAACAGGACTCTGCACCGGCTCATAAGGCACGAAGTACGCAAGACTGGTTGATCGCTCGTGGAATTGACTTCATCCGGCATGAAGACTGGCCCTCTTCTAGTCCAGATTTAAACCCACTGGACTACAAGATATGGCAATATTTGGAGGAAAAAGTCTGTGCTAAACCTCACCCGAATTTGGAGTCTCTCCGAGCATCTCTGGTTAAAGCAGCGGCAGACATAGATATGAATGTGGTGCGTGCAGCGATCGATGACTGGCCGCGTAGATTAAGGGCATGTGTTCAAAATGGGGGAGGGCATTTCGAATAATGTAAATAAAATTATATTGTACATTTAATGACCTTTCATTTCATATATAATTTTTAAATAATTGTCAAAAGGCGTATAAGTTATTACATCAAAAGTTTGTGACAGAACTTATGACCCGACTAAGTACATATAATGTCAAACAGGTCATGCTTTATTGATTAATTTAATTTTACTTTTGACTTTGAATGTTCACTTTAGATTTAGACTTTTGTCTTTGACTTTGACTTTTGACTTTTGAGTTTGACTTTGACTTTTGGCTTTGACTTTTGATTTTGACTTTGACTAACATAGTCATTTCCATCTGTGTCGTTTGTGTGTTAACAAATATACAATTACACCCATACACAGAATAGATCTGTCTGTGAAAAAAAAACTCTAGGTATTCCAAAATATTATAAACTTGAAAGTTTTTAAGTATGGATGGATGTTCGTTACTCTTTCACGTAAAAACTAATGAACGGATCTGAATGAAATTTGGCACAATAGATTATAGTCTGGAAAGAAGAAAAAACCATAGACTATTTTATCACGATAACTCGGTTAGAGATGCTTACAAAAAGTTATGTTAGTAAAATAATTATAAACAGTCATTTTTAATTAGATAGATTCTTAGTCAACTTTTTAAAACAAAATATACAGAAACGGACAATAACCTCCGGTCTCCGAAAGGCCGATCAATGTTAAAATCAATTTAATCTCTTGTCAAGTCATCTGATTGGTTGACTGAATTATCAACAACCAATCAGATGACTTGACAAGAGATTTAACAGGAGGTTAGTTAATTTTAGCGTTGACAACCTTTCAGAAACCGGGTGTAAGAGTGATTCTTTGGACATATATATAAAGGGTGACTGGTACTCATTGACAGATATTTAAATTCATGATTGTAATCATGATAACAAAGAACTTTACCAAAGAAACTATTAATCTATACTCAATAGCTACTCTCACCCGCTGCTCGGCTCCATTCGATCGTAGCGTGATGTTTCATAGCCTATAGCACTCAGGAATATTGTAGCTACCTATCAGTGAAAAATTTGGCAATCCGACCAGTGCCAGTGGTTCCAAAGATTACCCTCTACATACAAACTTACAAATTTTACCTCTTTATAATATTAGTATAGAAGTATAGATTACTTATATTTTTATTACTACTTATAGTTATAGTTTGCCGCGAGGCCCCGCGCGACCTCGTTTGAACTTTGCACAGTAATTTTGCTATAGTAATAATAATAAAATCAATAAAACTATTATAAATATTTTTACTTAGCACGCGAGGTTGTCGACATGTGGGAAGCGGATTCAGCTATCATTGTACCGATAGTCGTGTCAGCTATTGGCTTAATAGCCAAGAGCCTCGACCAACATCTTAGGAGGCTCTCGTTAGGTGGCTGGATCAAGGGCTTGATTCAGAAAGTGGTACTCCTGGACACGGCTCGTATTGTCAGGAGGTTCCTTTCTCTGGAGCCCTGACCGTAGCTTGGACCCTGTTCCCGATACCGGGTCGGGCACCATTTTTTATATTTTTTTTATTATTTATTTCTAGGAAACATTAAAAAAAAACGTCATTTCTATGTTTATAATGCTAAATAAAGATAATAAAAGTGATGAGTATAGAAAAATAGTTTTTTGGTAAAGTTCTTTGTTATCATGAGTACAATTACGAGTTTAAATATCGGTCACAAATAAAATACCAGTCACCCTATATTATTTCAAAACAATAAATCCAAAGAATCACTCCATTAGGAAAAATGGTCCCAACACAAAAAAATACCTTATCAGAATCTGTCGAGCAGTTTTGTAGATCAATGTTTGTGTCCCATTGTTAGAAGTAGAGGCATCAACGCGCCTACGGTCAGGATAACCATCTCTGATAGTAGGAGTCCTCCAAATCCCTTTTTGGGGGCTACCCCCTCTTGCATGGGGAGTAGTGTGTGCGTGTGTGATTGGGGGTGTGTCAATTCTGGCAACACGTGGACTGTAGCCACGTAAAGGAAAGTCCCAGCTGAAAACAACATAGCTATACCTGAAAAAAAAACAAGCTCATAGATTATTTTTTCAATATTTTTATCTATACTTAAATTCTTAAGTTTGTATGTAGGGGGTAATCTTTGGAACCGCTGGTCGGATTGCCAAAATTCTTTCACTGATAGTTAGCTACAATATTCCTGAGTGATAGGCTATAAAACATCACGCTACAATCAAATGGAGACGAGCAGCGATTGAAAACGCGCGAGTGTAGCTAGTGTCTATATATTTATCACTACATAGTATAAAACAAAGTCGCTTTCTCTGTCCCTATATCCCTATGTACGCTTAAATCTTTAAAACTACGCAACGGATTTTGATGCGGTTTTTAAATAGATAGAGTGATTGAAGAGGAAGTTTTATATGTATAATAACATCCATTAAATAGTTGAGAAACTTAGTATCAGCGTATCGGCATTGCATCCGTGCCAAAGCCGCGGCGGGTCGTTAAAATATTTAATCTATTTATAGTATAAAAAAAACATGAAAAAATCTTTCTTGAATATAGAAAACAGAGTAGCATCTTTCAATAAAAAAAATACTTAATATTTTATGTACAACAACAATACGGTAGTTTCCAACTAGTCAAATTCAATACTTTTATCCAAACGTCAAAAACAATACTTTTCTATGAAATTTGTATGAAAAACTGAGCTATGACGTCATAACATTTTTGCGTCAAACAGCTTACTTATTTCGCAATAATTAGCTAAAAAAATCTAAAACTTGGTGTATCGGTCGATCTATGAATAAAAGTACAGATATTTTTCAGTATTTTATTGTATTGAAACAGCGAATTAATTTATTTTTCACCTAGGACACTACCTAATTAGGTACAAAGGCACAGCTTATTTCTTCTAAAATCTCTTCCAGCAGGCCCGTTATGGGTATAGTGGCAGTGTTCAGCCGGGGTTGCGGGGTAAGCGCAATGAGGCACCGCGACCTCGGCCCAGAGCAGGAGAAGGAACGGGGGGGTTTTTAGTCAGTAAGAGTCTGACACTATAGGCAGGTGAAGTTATTCGATGATTTTCCCCTCACACAACGAAAAAGGCCCGTGTGGGAGAGTTATAATAACGTTCTGAAGTTTCTTAAAAAAAACTTACCGGTGGCGTTAAAATCGCTAAGCGTCTGTTTGCTCTCGTTACCAATACCAAAGTATGTGAGGAGAGCCAGCAATGGAGCCGCACACGAGAATATCAACAGATGCTTGCGGATCCTATTCCTGTAACAAGAATTGTGATTGAGGTTATTGGAGGCCCAATCCTTCCCCTCCCCCAATCCATAAATCTCCAAAACCGTAATACAATCGTAACTCCTCTATTTTTGCGGACGTCCATGGTCGGCGACGAATGGGTCGGCTCGACCGGAGTGATACCACGGCCTCACAGAAAACCGACGCGAAGCAACCACTATCTTGTTAAACCATGTGAGTGAGGTTACTGGTAGCCCTATCCTTCTCCTCCTCTAAATCTCCGAAACCCTAATCACATAAGGCCAACAACAGACTCATAACTCCTCCGTAGTTGCGGATGTCCATAGGCGGCGCTGATTGCTTACCATCAGGTAATCCGTATGCTCGTTTGCCATCCTATCCCATAAAAAAAAATTTAAAGTTTAAGAATAGCTGTGCTGTGTGAATTGCTGGTAATATTGCGAGTGTCGACGATTGCTTACCATCAGATAATCCTGCACGGTTGGTGCGGTTGCTGGGCAACTGGCTGCCGTGCGACGTGTCACGGGTTCGTATCCCGCACGGAACAACACTTTGTGTGATCGACAAATTGTTGTTTCGGGTCTGGGCGTCATGTGTATGTGAAACCGCCTGGTCGTTTGCCGAAAAAAGTATGATACCCTGTGCTGCCTAACTAGGTCTCCAAGATCATCAATAATCATCATCATTATCATCAACAGCCGAAAGACGTCAACTGCTGGACAAAGGCCTCCCCCTTAGGAGGGTTGCCATAATCCCCACGCTTGGGGTTTGCAGTTAGGTAACCGATATATGGATGAAATACTGCCACCCACTCCTCGGTGTCTGGTCGCAGTTTAAGGACGTACCAGGGTCCGGAAGTCCGGGTCCAAGGTCACTGAAGTCAAGACTTACCGTTCAAGTCCAGCGTGGAGGAGGAAAGTTACAAGACCGAAGGCTGCTGGCGCTTTGTGCAGCATTATAGCAAGGAACACTATTAGTTCTACATCAGCATGGGACGTTGTAGCGGCTGCACCTAAGGCTATACCATCCGCTGTGAAATAAGACAACTTTGTAAATCTTATATTTAAAAATGGATCGTAAAATGTGTTGGTAAGCGCATAACTCAAAAACGCCTGGACCAATTCTACTGATTCTTTTTTTGCTATGTGTGTTATTGTCAGGAGAAGGTTCTTATCGAAGAAAATATTAGAAAAGTAGAGGGGAGAGTTGGGTAATATGGACCCTTTCATCGTAAGCGAGATGATGAGCCGTGCGAAGCGGGGCGACCTAGTCTATAATATAAAAATGAATCACAAAATGTGTTGGTAAGCGCATAACTCAAAAACGCCTGGACCAATTTTGCCAATTCCTTTTGTTTTGTATTTATTATTGTCAAGAGAAGGTTCTTATGAAAGAAAATATTAGAAAAGTAGAGGGGAAGATTGGGGAAAAGGGACCATTCATTGTTAGCGAGATAGTTGGACCCGTGCGAAGCGGGGGTAGGCTGCAAGTTTAATTAAAAAAAATGACTTAGGTACATCTATACTAATTAAAGCTGAAGAGTTTCAGCCGGGGTTGCGGGGTAAGCGCAATGAGGCACCGCGACCTCGGCCCAGAGCAGGAGAAGGAACGGGGGGTTTTAGTCAGTAAGAGTCTGACACTCCCCTCAAAAAAAGAGTTAGTTTGTTTAAACGCACTAATCTCCGAAACTACTGGTCCGAATTGAATAATTCTTTTTGTGCTTGTTAGAACATTTACCGAGGAAGGCTGTAGGCTATAAAACATCACGCTACGATTTGTAGGAGCCGAGCAGCGAGTGAAAACATGCGACAGAAGTTGGTAAGTAATAGAATAACTAGAAAAGCCGTTTCAAGTTATAACAGGATTCTTATTCATGAGCGTGCATCGCGACAATCAGTGGTGACTTGAAAATAGAAGAGATTTGGACCAGATCACACTCTGTGTGGTCAACAAATTGTTGTTCAGACTCTGGGTGTGATGTGTATGTGGAATTGTATGTTTGTAAACGCACCCACGACGGGTACTGCTTGGTCCATACCAACGGGAAATTTCAATAATTATCGCGATAATTGATGATAATAAACAATTCAAATTATTATAATAAACGCGAAAGTAACTCTATCTGTCTTTTCTTCACGCCTAAACTACTGAACCGATTTGTGTGAAATTTGGTACAGACATTGTTTGGAACTCGAGAAAGGGCACGGGATAGTTTTTATACCAAAAATCTGCAGGATCACTATTCCACGCGAACTGAGTCGCGGGCAAAAGGTAGTCTTATTATAAGTTTAAAATTGCCAATCCAGCCTGAGCAAGCGTTCGGGCACGCTATTATAGCAGCGGTAAGACCCCCTCCTTGAGGAGTGGCTTGAGAGACGCCACGGCGTCCTCACCTTCCGCCTGACGCAGGTCCTTACCGGGCACGGCAGCTTCGGTAGGTTCCTGTTTCGGATCCAGCGTGAGGAAACGCCCGAGTGTCGTCATTGCGAGGACCACCTAGAGGATACGGTGGAGCATACGGTGGCGGTATGCCCTGCCTGGGCTGAGCACCGCCGTGTCCTCAGGAAAGTGATCGGCGGCGGCGACCTCTCGCGCCCGGCCTTAGTCGAGGCCATGGTGCGGAGTGAGAGGAACTGGGACGCCGTCTCCTCCTTCTGTGAAGCAGTTATGCTCGCAAAGAGGGAGGTGGCCCGCGTGAAGGAGCAATCCTCCTCCTCACGTCCCAGCCGCCGCAATAGGCGACACTACGGGCGTCGGGGATCAAGGGACGATCTCCGGCCAGCTTAAGCTCGCCGCCCGACCAGAACCAGGCCCGAGCGTACGGCGCGTAGAGTTCCGCGCGCGCCTCAAAGAGCCAATAGACCACCACAGACGGGGCCCTAAAGGGCTGATGTTCAGCCGGGGTTGCGGGGTAAGCGTAATGAGGCACCGCGACCTCGGCCCAGAGCAGGAGAAGGAACAGGGGGGTTTTTAGTCAGTAAGAGTCTGACACTCCCTCCCGACCGGCCCTGGGCGGGAGAAGTCATTTGATGATTTTCCCCTCACAAAAAAAAAGCCTGAGCAAGCGTGGTGGTTAATGCTCAAACCTTCTCCGTGTGAGAAGAGGCCTTTGCTCGATCGCTTTGATGATTTGAATGTACACGTACGTGCGTACGTGTTAGCACTTAAATCAGTTATAACGTTTCCAAAGTGCCGATAACGAGTCTGATAAGAACGAATTGATTGCGCTATTAAGTTTTTTAAAACACTTGACATAGGCGTAGCAAATTTTTTATACACTATTTCGTGGAAGGCAAACGAGCAGACGGATTACCTGATGGTAAGCAATCGGCGTGTAAGGTGTCCATGAGGACTAAAAACATTAGGGGAGAAAGTTGCGAGCGCGATTGGGGATTTGAGGTTTACGGGAGGAGGAATTTGGGGATAGGTAATTTATTTTTATTCTTATTTATTTATTTATCATATTAACAGTGAATACAGGATTATCACTTAAAATAGCAACCTAAAACCACTAAGGTTGCTATCATGAATCTATCTTAGAATTGAGATTGCATAAAATGAGGTTTTACAAAATACTAGCTACTCTCGCGCGGTTTCACCGGCTCGGCTCTATTTAATTATAGCGTGATGTTTTATAAACTATAGCACTCAGGAACATTGTAGCTATCTATCAGTGAAAGAATTTTGGCAATCCGACCAGTGGTTCCAAAGATTACCCCCTACATACAAATTTGCAAATTTTACCTCTTTATAATATTAGTAAGTTAGATTGCGCTTACAACCTCGGAAGGTCAAGCATTTTTTTTGGAGGGAAAGCCCACCCCATTCCTTCTCCTGCTCTGGGCCGAGGCTGCACTACATTATTGCGCTTAATACTCTGGAAGGTCAAGTTAGACTGGTTGGCTACTTTGGGGTCTATATGAAAGTAGGAGAACAAAGTTTTACTTACCAGCAGCATGGACCACCAGGCCAACAGTTGCTGTGACATTCTTCTCTACTGGATTACTTTGGTCATTGTATCTTGCAGACATCTGGTCCACCAACAACATGAAGACAAAACCTGGAACAAAGACAGCATCAGCATCAGCCTATAAGAGTCCACTGCTGAGCAAAGGCTTCTTCTCACACGGAGATCGTTTTGAGCATTGATTACCAGGTTTGCTTAAGGCCGACTGGTGAAGTCCAGGTTTCGTCACGATGTTTTCCTTCACCGTATGTCAGTGGTGTCTAAATTGTCTAAAGTAAAAATCATTAATTCCAACTAAACCATAAATAGGTACTTTTGAAACGTCGAAATAGAATAGTAGAAAAATCACATTGGTACTTGCTAGGTTTCAACCTCGTCATGCATCAAAATTGGTTTTAACCTTTGGTCCAATTACCTGATGGTAAGCAATCAGCGCCGCCCATGAACACCCGCAACGGAAGAGTTACGAGTGCGTTCGACTTTTTAGGGAACTAAAGGGATTGGGGAAGGGGAAGAATTTGGCCTCCGGTAACCTCACTCACACGGCAAACACAACGCTGTGGTTGTTTCACGCCGGTATTCTGTGAGGCCGTGGTATCAATCCTGTCAAGCCGACCCATTCGTACCGAAGCATGGCTCTCCCACACATGATATTTACCGACCTATCCCAAAGAGCACTTACCAAGTACAAGTGATATTCCGATAACAGAATGCAAGTCATCGTCATGGCTCGGCGGTTCTGCTGTGAAGTCTTTTGTGACTACCGTTGGATGTGATCGTTCACTGAACAAGGATCGTACTCCCTCAGGTATGATCACGGCCAGAGCTGTTCCTACTAGGAGTCCCGCTCCAAAAACTGTTACCTTTTGTAGCTTGTCCTAAAACAAAAATACAGACGTGTGATCAACAAATTGTTGTTCCGGGTCTACGTGTCATGTGTATGTGAAATTGTATGTTTGTAAACGCACCCACGAGACACGAGTAAATCCTAGAGTGGGGCAACGTTTTTTTTTAAAAAAATAAAAAAAAGATGCCATATGTCTCATATCATCTTAGGCGAAGATGTCTTTGCTTACCATCAGGTTAATTGGATAGTTTCGTAGGTCAAAAATAAAATTAATTCGACGTTTGAATGCAATAATGATGAAAAATAAGCACACTTATATACACTGAATTTTAGATATTTTTAGCTAATTTTTATGGAATAAATAAGCTATTTGCCGCTAAAATAGTATGACGTCATAATTTGGAGTTTCATACAAATATCTTAGAAAAGTTTTTGACACTTTGGATAAAAGTATTGAATTTGACTAGTTGGAAACTTCCGTATTGGAAGAGAAACGTCGTTTCGTATCGAGTAGAAATTAAAAAAACAATTGGAGGTAGGTAACGTTCGTCCACAAAACTAGTGCGAGTGGACTAATGCGTCCGTGATTTTTACAAATTACTGCATCAGATACCTAATATCCATGAACAAAGACAGATGACGGAAAGTTCTTCCCGAAAATTTGCAAATCAATTCGTACGTGGTCATTTAAAAAGACGAGGCTTATGGAAGAAAATTATTTAATATTTTATGTATCCGGCTATTGGGACCGCTGTTCGAGTTTTTGCGATCCCAGTCGCCGGAAGCCGCAAAAAAATCTCTACTAGTTTTAAGCCACAAAAAGCCCATCAACGCGAGCATTTCTCAGTTTCCTGTAAGTCATAATATCGTAAGTATATAATCTTTAACACGACAGTTATAATACAAAGATAACATTTGGACTTGACTAAAATAGAAAAAAAAATTGACAAATAAATCCGGGCGAATTTCCCAAGTCGTCTCCCACGGATACGCATAGGATCAGTCTGTAAGGACCACCCAGAGGTCACGGTGGAACATACGGTTTTTTTTTTGTGAGGGGAAAATCATCAAAAGATTTCTCCCGCCCGCTCTTACTGACTAAAAACCCCCCTGTTCCTTCTCCTGCTCTGGGCCGAGGTCGCGGTGCCTCATTGCGCTTACCCCACAACCCCGGCGTGGAGCATACGGTGGCGGTGTGCCCTGCTTGGACTGAGCACGGCCGAGTTCTCAGGAAAAGTGATCGGAGGCAACAACCTCTCGCACATGGCCCTTGTCGAGGTTATGGTGTGGAGCGAAAGGAACTGGGAAGCCATTTCCTACTATTAAAACAGTGATGCTCGCAAAGCAGGAGGCTGTGGTTGTTTCACGCCGGTTTCCGTGAGGCCGTGGTGTCACTCCAGTCAAGCTGACCAGACTACATATTTTTTTTTTTTTTTTGATGCTGCTAAGGATTGAAAATTTGACTAAAATGTAAGGTTCACGCTATACAATGTAATCTATAAGTTTTAGATGTGATTACAAACTTAAGCGTAGGTAATGTTTTTTTTAATTCAACTGTACAGTTAGGGCAGTGATTGGACAATACTCTACTGCGCAATGTGCCACAAATTCAACTCTCTAATGAAACACCTCATTGTGATCCACAAATGGTTGTTTCAGTCTGGGTGAGACGTTTACATGTGAAATTGTATATTTTTAAACACATCCACAATACAGGATGAAATCCTAGAGAGGGGCATTTTTATTTGTAGCTAGGGGCCCGCCCCTGTGTCCCATGGATCTTCAACTATCTCACAACAAGATCTCCCGTCTACCTTTCTAAAACTTTCTTTCATAAGAACCTTCTCCTGGCATTTAAATTTAAACACAACAAAAGTAGAATTGGCCAAAATCGGTCCAGGTGTTGTTGCATTATGCGACTACCAACTCATTTTGCGATTCATTTTGATATATACATATAGATAGATTATTAAGAAGTGAACAGACATTTTATTAATAGTGTTCTAGTCCTACTGTTACTAAAAAGGTCTGTATCATAATGTGACATAAAATTTTAATTATAGAAATAGAAATCATTTATTTGCAAAATCATAACATAATTTGGTATTAGAACTACACTATACATATACTAAATAAGCTTATCAGGAACATAACTGAATTGTGAAACATGACGAGAATTACACATTAAACAACCTTTATCTCAATCTCATTTTATCAGTTTAATAGTGCAATAATGATGTTTTACGCAATAACAACGCAAGGAGCGAGCTGGTGTTAATACTTTTATGCAAGATTTCAACAAATTTACACATTAACATATGTTTTAAACTTATTCTCTCGTATTAATATTACTACTGTGAATAAGTAACTGTGTACATCTGAATCTAAATAAAATTTGGCACTAAGATAGATTCAGGACTAAAATAACACAATGTTTTTGAATTTCTTATCCAGATGATATGAGCAACTAAGCTAGTAAATCAATTAACAGTCTAAACACGATTAGAAGGGTTATAAAAAAATGAAACTTTCGCAAAATATTGCAAACTGGAGCGAAACGTAGATCACAGCTGGTTAAGAGATTTTAGTTAAATTTAACCTATAAAGAGGTTGTATACTTAGAAACAGGCTTACCTCAGACATGCTAACGTTCAAAGGTATACTTCCAGCCACATAGGATCCCACCAACATCACCAGAGCGAGCAAAATAAGAACCCATGTTCCATCCATCTCAGAAGATCTTTTTTTTTCAGTTAACAACTTAAATGTACGCTTAGCACTGATTATATGACTTGGAAAATGTACTTCTTTGTTATCGCATGTTTAACTTACACGGTACGGTTGATTAATAGAACCGTTTACTGTTAATTTCATTTATAAAATAATTTTCACATACAATTTTGGATTGTATTGAACTATTTCTTTTGACAACACGACAAATGATTTTTTTTATTCATCTCTACGTTGAGTATTAGTGTTTTGGGTACTTGTTTTTCACCAATAATGAAACAACGACAATGAGATTTATTATGAAAAACAAATTTAAAATCCTTAAAAACTTAATGTATAAGAGCATGCTCAAGCACGTATATACCTAAATATTTCATCACCCAGCTGGCACTGAAAGATAAGATAATGAGGAAACCGTTTTAAACAAGTCTACATGTCCCGATGTTTTCTGTACTAATATTATAAAAGCTTTTTTGTAGGGGGTAATATTTGGAACCGCTGGTCGGACTGTCAAAATTTTTTCACTGATAAAGATAGTTAGCTACTCTTGAGTTTGATAGGCTATATAACATCACGCTACGATCAAATGAAGCCGGGCAGCTGCACGAGAGCAGCTATTGTCCAATAAATAATTAGCCTTTACTTATTAGACGAAAATACTGAAGTTCTCATTACGACGGAAATTCGCTAGATCCAGAGATGGTTTAAACTTGGTAAGCACCCTATAGAAGATGGAGTTTATGACGTGCTTGCCTAGCACACACACTAGGTTCTACCAATGGGAATAAACACCAATAAAATAGGTAGGCCTTAAGAGATTTAGGTACCAACTTATAGTTTCTAAAATCAATAAAAGAGTTGATGATAATTTTTAGATTTTGCGACGTCTTTCAATTTTTACCGCCAATTTACGATTTATAAAAAATTTTTACTGGCCGTAAATTTTTATATATCAAATCTCGATAAAAGATAATTAAAATATAAGAAAAGATATGAATGAGAATATGAGAGTAATATTAACGACATTATATGAATCATTGACTTGATTGAAACCCAAAAAAGCTCACTATTCCACTCCTCTTTTTAGTGTCTTTATTTTAGTTTAGTATTCTTTGACTAGTTCCAAAACCAGCTGCATTCTTTTAAAATAATATTAACAAGTATTGTCAAATATTGTTCTTTCTTCATCATGATTTTTTTCTTTAGGTCAACATTTGAAATTCAAAGACAATAATGTGCTGTCAGAAATTGACAGCTATTAGTTATTGTCTATGGATTTTCGTTTTAGGCGCACGCGGAAGTGGACATTCGAGCGATTTCCTTTTCCTAAAATTTCAAAACTTATCAAAAGTTTCAATAAATAAAGTACTCTGTGCCTGTTTGTTATTGTTTTTCTTTTTATTTTACTGTTGTCGTGAGATATTGTGATTGAAAATGGAGGTGACCGATCTAAATGATCTGCTTAATGTACGTTCAATCAAAATGGAACAGGGAGATTCAGCATTTGATGAGAACACAGTTGAAAATTCTGATCCTTTATCAATAATACCGCAGTACGTCACTGAATCAGACTTAGGTAAGATAAATTTAGTTTATTTATGTACTAAAACGACAAAACTGTCCGCAATTAAACAAAACACTGATGAATTTTCGTACCGAGAACGCCAATTTTGTTGTCCTCGAATATTTATCAATGATATTGTATTTTTTAAGGTGTTTTGATTGTAATGGACTATAATTTGTTTGATTGGAGTTATATTTTGAAATTCATAATAGTACATACATTGTAAAAGATGTAGTAAGTAATAAGTTTATTTAGTACTTCATACACACTTTGATACATGCATAGGCAATGTTCTTTAGCAGATATAATGCTGAATATCTTTGAAACTACTGTTCAGATTTTAATATATACATATAATTTGGTTTCATTTAGTTCAATAGATGAAGAAAACATGTGGGAATAGCTGTACAAACTAGTCTTAATATACAATTCAATAGCTATACACATACTTACCTACACACATTAATTTGTTTGTTAATTACACAATACGGTACTTTCCAACTAGTCAAATTCAATACTTTTATCCAAATGTCAAAAACAATACTTTTCTATGAAATTTGTATGAAAAACTGAGCTATGACGTCATTGTATTTTTGCATCAAATAGCTTACTTATTTCTTAATAATTATCTAAAATATATCTAAAACTTAGTGTATTGATTGATCGATGAATAAAAGTGTAGTTATTTTTCAATATTTTATCGTGTATTGAAACATCGAATTAATTTATTTTTGACCACCCAATTATCATTTTAAAATGAACAAATGAGTTCTAGAAACAATATCACATTTTTAAAATGCGGGCAACGCACCTCTGGCTCATCTGGTGCTGCAGGTGTCCTTGGCAGTGTAGATCACTTACCATCAGGTGGTCTGCATGCTCATTTGCCTACTATTCCATTCCGTTAAGAAGAATTGTATCTTTTAAGCATTAAATCATGGATTAAGTGTAGGAGAGCCATGCTTCAGCACGAATGGGTCGGCTCGACCGGAGTGATACCACGGCCTCACAGAAAACCACAGCATTGTGTTTTGCCTTGTGAGTGAGGTTACCGGAGGCGCAATCCTTCCCCTCCCCCAATCCCTCCTCAATCCCTAATCCCGTAAAGTTCGGCAACACACTCGTAACTACTCCGTTGCGGGTTTCCATGGGCGGCGCTGATTGCTTACCATCAGGTAATCAGTATGATCGTTTGCCGACCTATTACATAAATAATTATTGAATTAATATCATGTTACATTATATTTCATCGATATTTGAAATAATGAAAAATTTCACTGAATTTTGAACTTTGTTAAATCAATATTGTATTTTTCAAATATAGCCTAATGTAACATTTTATTTATATTTTATTAAGACTTACCATAAGTGTGTGTACAAAAGAATGATGAATTATGTTATATTTTTAATTATTTATAAAAAAATATGTTACAGGTCTCATGCAAGCTGGTGGGGAGATACTACAGACTCCACTAGCCGTTTTCTCTGATACTCCAGATGAGGATGACACAATGCAAAGTACAGAAAGCAGCGGTAAGGTTTCACTTTAAATGTTTATCAAGCTTGGCCATTAATAATAATAATATTGTGTAGTAATAAATGTGGGAGCTCTGCTATGAGCTATGCTTCGGCACGAATGGGTCGGCTCGAGCGGAGCGATACCACGGCCTCACGGAAAACCGTCGTGCAATAACCACAGCGTTGTGTTTCGTCGTGTGATTCAGGTTGCCGGATGCCCAATCCTTACTATCCGTTCCAATTCCTTAAATATCCGAAACCCTTACCTACACCTAAAAGGCCGGCAACGCATTTGTAACTCCTTTAGTGTTGCGGGTGTCAATGGTCAGCGCCGATTGCTTACCATCAGGTACCTGACATAATTACGCGGGTATTAACGCGAAAAGTAATTATTTCAATACCTTTGAAGGCTTGCCATTTCGACCGGGTTGCACAGGTCGTGGTCGCAATCATATTATCATCATCACTACACACTACAGCCTATAAGTGTCCACTGCTGAGCAAAGGCCTCTTCTCATAGGGAGAAGGTTAGAGCATTAATCACCACGCTTGCTCAATGCGGGTTGGCGATTTCAAACTTATAATTAGAAATAATAAGTCCAGGTTTCCTCACGATGTTTACCTTTACCGTATGTCAGTGGTGCCTAAATAATCATATAGAGCAAGAGCCCGTGAGAGCCAGACCTTCGGATTTTTATAAAAGCTAAGAGTTCTTCTGTGTATGTCCCCAATACAGGTAAGAAAGGTCCCCACCCATGAAACCTGGGTAGTGGTGGCTTTGGCAGGTAACAGGTAGCAAAGGTGTATAAAATTCCACCTCAAATTTTTTAATTTATAAAACTCAATTTTTTTATATTTTATTCGTGATAATATTAAAACTCGCGTTGCTCATTGCCAGACACTTAATATGGTTACAACCCTCTGCCGGACACCCCTGAACTATTATAATTTGTAACTATACTTACGTTATATTATAAAAGCTAAATTTTATATATGTTTTTTGGACAACTATTAAATATTGTTTCCTTAATAGCCAGACAATTTCGAGGGTTACATCGTCCAGCCAGACGTATTAAATGTGCACAATAGATAAGAGTGAGAGGAGTATATGCAGCAACGGGTGCGAGTGAGATAGAGCGTGCAGTCTATTGCGACTTTTACTGCGCATCAGCTGCTCATTGTGTATTATGTAGTGCGCGGTTATCCTCATAGTAAACATACATCAAACGTATATTAAACGTTGTATTATTTTTCTGTGTAATTTATAAAATAAATGTGATCTAATAATTGTAATAAAAAGTTATCATGAGTGAAGAAGAAGTAAAAGTAGTTTGCTTTGTCTGTAAAAAAAGTGGCGAAGATCTAATAATATTTACCGAGGAGACTTTAAAAAAATGTCAGAATATTCTAAAATTAAGAAAAATACACAAACTTAAATACCAAGACGTTATTTTACCTAGTGAATATACAGAGAGTGGTTATCACAGATCATGTTATAAAGCATTTACAGGTCTAATGAAAAAATACTACAGCTCTGAACCTCTAAGTACTAAAAAAAAACAAGCAAGTGGTGTAGTTACAGACAAATCATTTCCAACTTCATCGTTGACTCCAGATTTGAGTTCAGAACCACCTGATTCAGAGTCTTCATCAATAGAATCTTCAACAATATCTCAACAAATTTTATTTTCCCAGTCAATAGAAGCACAACCGTCAACATCTCAAGATGAATCTTATTTACAGCCTGTACCCTCAGAATCTTCCACGACACCTCAGCCGACTCCAATTTCTGACTCAATAGGTCTACAATCTTCACCTCTTCAAGATTTTTCTGGTGTTTCTGAACCGGATGTTAGTGATAATAATATTGTAACTCAGGACGTAAATACTTCGACTGATAATATTGCTGGTAATAGTGATAACGAGGTTGTTTGTATATTTTGTGAAAGAAAAAAGAAAAAAGTGAAATCGAGAATGGTTCCGCTTTATACAGCTGATGTCCATCAATTTAAGGCTAGTATTAAACCCAATATAGAAAATTATGAACAGTATAAAGATTTTCTAAATAAATTGGATAATTTTTCTGGCCCAAAAATTTACTATCATACAGAATGCCGCGTTGATTTTAATAACACTGTATCTTCATTAAAAAAAACGCGTAGCAAAACGGAGTGGCATTATCACCGAGAATATCACCAAATAGTTTTTAATGAAATCAGTACAATCATTAAGGAAGAAGTAATTAAAAAAGGACACTGTTTTTTATTAATTTATTTACATGAATTATATATAGATTCATTAGAAAAAAAATTCCAAGAAAATTCTATTGACATGACTGTAACTTTTATGCCACACCACCTTGAAGAAAAAATTTTGAAAATATTCTCTAAGGATATAAAGTTCTTTACTGTTCGCAATAAAAAAATAATAGCTCCAAAATATTTACAAGCAATAGATGATTCAGTACTGGATAACTTACTAACAGAAAATGTTTTACGAAAATCTGCATTGATTCTGAGAAAATTAATACTCCAAATAGAAAAAAATAAATAACCAACTAAAAATATAACGTCACAGCATTTAATATCAGGAGAAGTTTCGATACCACAAGAATTATCGGACTTTTATTTTACCCTTCTTGGTGGATGTAACCAAAAACGAAAAAATAGCCCCAAATGTGCTCGCCTATATAGTTAGTTCTTACTGTCAAGATATTATTTTCGGAATTCATAATAGTCAAGTTAAGACGTCAAAGCATATCATGCTAGGTATGACTCTAAAAAGCTTAACAAGCAGTATCAATTGAGTTACTAGATTTTAGATATGATTAATATTTTTTTATAAAATTTTTCGGAATATTACTTTAAAAATTTATTATTCAGACTGTATTAATTTTATTCAATGAAATTTCTCCAAAAGTTAGAACAAATGTTACTGAAAAATTCGGAATTAAAAACAGTAGATGCGCAGTAAAAAATCGCAATAGACTGCACGCTCTATCTCACTCGCACCCGTTGCTGCATATACTCCTCTCACTCATAACTATTGTACACATTTAATACGTCTGGCTGGACGATGTAACCCTCGAAATTGTCTGGCTATTAAGGAAACAATATTTAATAGTTGTCCAAAAAACATATATAAAATTTAGCTTTTATAATATAACGTAAGTATAGTTACAAATTATAATAGTTCAGGGGTGTCCGGCAGAGGGTTGTAACCATATTAAGTGTCTGGCAATGAGCAACGCGAGTTTTAATATTATCACGAATAAAATATAAAAAAATTGAGTTTTATAAATTAAAAAATTTGAGGTGGAATTTTATACACCTTTGCTACCTGTTACCTGCCAAAGCCACCACTACCCAGGTTTCATGGGTGGGGACCTTTCTTACCTGTATTGGGGACATACACAGAAGAACTCTTAGCTTTTATAAAAATCCGAAGGTCTGGCTCTCACGGGCTCTTGGACTAATAGAAAGTACATATAACTCGGAAAAATTCACATTGGTACTTGCCAGGTTTCGAACCCTCATGCATGAGATGCAATGCATGCAATCATATTATGCTAACATGAAACGCGAGTTTAAAAGTAAGTATCAGGTAATCGGTATGCTAGTTTGTCGACTGACCCCATAAAAAAAAAGAAAAATGCTCAAACTTAAGTGTGGGAGAGCCATGCTTCGGCACTAATGGGTCAGCTCGACCGGAGTGATACCACGGCCTCACAGAAAACCGGCGTGAAATAACCACTGCGTTGTGTTTCGCCGTGTGAGTGAGGTTACCGGAGGCCCAATCCTTCCCCTTCCCCAATCCCTCCTCAATCCCTAAATCTCCAAATCCCTAATCCCTAAAAGGTCGGCAACGCACTCGTAACTCCTCCGTTGCGAGTGTCCATGGGCGGCGCTGATTGCTTACCATCAGGTAATCCGTCTGCTCGTTTGCCGACCTATTACATAAAAAAAAAAATACATAAAAAAAAACCTTCTCCGTGTGAAAAGAGGTCTTTGCTCAGCAGTGGGCACTTATAGGCTTATGATATTATGTGTTGTCGTTATAAATAATATTTTTTTGTGTATTGGTTTCAGATGAGGTGATAGTCCAGTTAATGGATATCAGAACCAACTTGTCCCGATTGCGGGCCATGTTAGAACGTAGATTGGGATGTGACCTCACCGATTACACTTTCTGGCTGCAAAACGCTAAAATGGTTAGTTAAAATATCATTAACTTATTTTTAAACAAAACTGACGCTAAGGTTAACATCAAATTTTTTTTTTATGGGATAGGTCGGCAAACGAGCTGACGCATTACCTGATGGTAAGCAATCAGCGCCGCCCATGGACACCCGCAACACCAAAGGAGTTACGAGTGCGTTGCCGGCCTTTTGGGGATAGGGGTTGCGGATTTAAGGATTGGGAAGGGGTAGGGGAAGGGGAGGGATTGGGCCTCCGGTAACCTCACTCACACGGCGAAACACAACCCTGTGGGTTGTTTCACGCCGGTATTCTGTGAGGTCGTGGTATCACTCCGGTCGAGCCGACCCATTCGTGCCGTAGCTTGGCTCTCCCACACTACATCATCACAAAATAGTATAAAACAAAGACACTTTCTCTGCCCCTATATCCCTGGTAGCTTAAATCTTTAGAACTACTTATTGCAATTTTTGTGCAATGCAGTTTTTTATAGATAGAGTGGTTGGAGAGGGAGGTCTATATGTATAACTAGCTACTCTCACGCGGATTCACCCTCTGCTCGTCTACATTGATCTCAGCGTTATGTTTTATAGCCTATAGCACTCAGGAACATTGTAGATATCTATCAGTGAAAGAATTTTGGAAATCCGACCAGCGGTTCCAAAGATTACCCCCTACATACAAACAAACAAATTAAAAAAGTTACCGGAGGCCTATTTCTTCCCCTCCCCCAACAATCCCCAAATTCCCAAAATTTCGACAACACACTCGTAACTTCACTGTTGTTGCCATGTTGATGGGTGGGCGGCGCTGATTGCTTACCATCAGGTAATCCGTCTGCTAGTTTTCCGACCTATAACATAAAAAAGGGTGAAAGCTTAAAACCCCGCCTCTTTTGTGTAAGAGGGTGCAAGCACCTCATGGATGATGATGATGATGATAATAATGATGAATTCGGTTCCAGTTGGAAAACCACAAGACTCTGGTCGAGCAGTGCATCCGAGGGGAAGGTGTGGTCCAGGTGAACATTCAGATCAGAACAGCTGAGAGGAAGATCAATATCCTCGATGTTCTGAAACCTGATGAGGAACTTGTCCAGCTGCCCAACCAGATGGATGATGACCGTAAGTCTTTTTGCATTTTTCTTTTCTACAAAAAGACCAAATTGTATTTGGGATAAGACCTTACCCTTCTTAACCTTTTTTGTTAGGGGAACATTATCAAATGACTTCTCTCGTCCAGGGTAAGGCGGGAGAGGGTCTGTGGACGGCGAGTAAGGGTAGCTCGCCGCCCGACCAGAACCAGACCCGAGCGTACGGCGCTTAGCGTTCCGCGCGCGCCTCAAAGAGCCAATAGACCACCACAGACGGGGTCCTATAGGGCTGATGTACAGCCGGGGTGGAGGGGTAAGCGCAATGAGGCACCGCGACCTCGGCACAGAGCAGGAGAAGGAACAGGGGGGTTTTAGTCAGTAAGAGTCTGACACTTCCTCCGGCCCAGCCCTGGGCGGGAGAAGTCATTTGATGATTTTCCCCTCACAAAAAAAAAAAACGTTATAGTACAGTAGCATCAAATAGCTTACTTATTTCTTAAAAATTAGTTAAAACATATCTAAAATTTAGTGTATCGATCGATCGATGAATAAAAGTATAGTTATTTTTCAATATTTAATTGTATTGAAAAGTCGAATTAATTTATTTTTGACCTAGGAAACTACCCAATTGGTGCCACCATAGGATTTGCTAGTGCGTTTTGCTGGTCTTTCGGCAGTCAATAGAGGGTATGGTTGGGAGAGGGGAAGGATGAGGCCTCTCTTATACTTCTCTCAATTCATAACATGATGATGGTGATGATTTGTCCACAGTACTGGAATTCGAAGAGCCCCTGGGTGCTTCCAGTCGGACTGAAGAAATAGTGGAACCTGTATCACATGCTGCGGCAGTCAAGTGGGTCGTAGACGCACAGTTCAAGAGTGAGCACCGAGTTCGAGTGCCGGACGATCCTGCTGAATGGTTAGTGCTTTTCCTGTCTGAAAGTTTTGTTAAACTTCATCATATTTTACTTGACCTAATAATAGAGACTTTATTTTTTTGTAAACTAGCTACTCTCACGTGGCTTCGCCCGCTGCTTGGCTCCATTTGGTCGTAGCGTGATGTATTATAGCCTATAGTACTCAGGGACATTGTAATTATCTATCAGTGAAAGAATTTTGGCAATCCGACCAGCTGTTCCAAAGATTACCCTCTACATACAATCTAACAAATTTTACCTCTTTATAATATTAGTATAGATTAACTTAAATTGTTTTTCCGGGTCTGGATGTGATGTATATGAAATTGTATGTCTGTAAACGCAGCAACGACACAGGAGAAATTGTTTTATGTATGGTCGCCAAACGAGCAGGCGGATTACCTGATGGTAAGCAATCAGTGCCGGCCATGGACACCCGTAACACCAAAGGAGTTACGATTGCGTTGCCGGCCTTTTAGGGATAAGGGTTTTGGGGTTTTAGGGATAAGGGTTTGGGAAGGGATCAGGGGAGGCGAAGGATTGGACCTCCGGTAACCTCACTCACACGGCGAAACACAACGCTGTGGCTGTATCACGCCGGTTTTCTGTGAGGCCGTGGTATCACTCCGGTCGAGGCGACCTACTCGTGCCCAAGCTTGGCCCACACTTAAAATCCAAACTAATATTATAAATGCGAAAGTAACTCTGCTGTCTGTCTGTCTTTTCTTCACGCCTAAACTACTGAACCGATTTCCGTGAAATTTGGTACAGACACAGTTTGGGACTTGAGAAAGGACATAGGATAGTTTTTAAACCAAAAATCTGCAGGAAGTCACTATTCCACGCGAACGGAGTCGCGGGTAAAAGCTAGTAAATGTAGGTGAATTTAAAATAAATGACTTTGATATTCCCAGGTCAGTTCAGCATGTGAAGTTATGGATACAGTGGGCAGTCCGTCAATTCAACCTGATTGGAATAAAACTTTCCGATTGGAATATAAGCGGCGAAGAGCTGTGTGCTATTACTAATGTAGAATTCAAGTAAGTTGGTAGTTTTTTTATGGAGTAGGAGTCCAACGAGCTGACGCATTACCTGATGGTAAGCAATCGGCGCCGCCCATGGTCATTCACCATTTGAGTTACGAGTGCGTTAACTGTGTTTTGAGATATGGGTATCGTAAATTTAGGGAGAGATATTTAGAGAGGAGAGACGATCTCCGGCCACCGTAAGCGCGGGTCTGCGGACGGCGAGTAAGGGTAACTCGCCGCCCGACCAGATCCAGACTCGAGCGGACGGCGCGTAGCGTTCCGCGCGTGCTTCAAAGACCCAATAGACCACCACAGACGGGGCCCTATTGGGGTTGATGTTCAGCCGGGGTGGAGGGGTAACCGCAATGAGGCACCGCGACCTCGGCCCAGAGCAGGAGTGTTTTTAGTCAGTAAGAGTCTGACACTCTCTCTCGCTTTACCCTGGGCGGGAGAAGTCATTTGATGATTTTCCCTTGACAAGAAAAAAGGGTGCTTTTTCCCCTGGGGAGAAAGGATTGGTTGTTTTGGCGACGGTTCTCTGTGAGTTCACCTGAGGAGAGATTTAAAGTTTGGCCATTGGAGATTGGATATATTGGGATTAAGAAACTTGTCATTTTTTTATGCGATGGAATGGCAAACTAGCTGGCAGATTACCTGATGGTAAGCAATCAGATATACTTAGGCCATTGTGAATTGAAGAATTGAAATAAGGGATTTGGGGATTGTAGATTAAAATGGGAGATAGGATGGCTGTGCCTCACTCATTACCTGATGGTAAGCAATCAGATATACTTAGACCATTGTAGATTTTAAGATTTGAGATAAGAAATTAGGGATTTGGGGGATTGTAGATTGAGATGAGGGGTAAGAAGGTTGGGCTCCCGGCTCCCAACGAAAGACAACGTAAGTATTTTAAGTATTTTTATTATAACTTTCGTGAGAAATTCTAAATTAATTATTATGTTTTCGGCTTACTCGCGTCATAAACTACTTAGTCGAGTATCTCGTCAAATAATTACGTGTGTATTTTAAGAAATGTCGTTTTGTTTTTTCAGAGAAAAAGTACCCTCAGATCCGGGTGATATATTCTGGACGCATTTCGAGTTGCTTAGGAAATGTAAATTTATCGGTAAGTCTTGTTATTATTATTAAATTGGGTAGTTTCCTAGGTCAAAAATAAATTAATTCGACGTTTCAATACAGTAAAATATTGAAAAAAAAACTATACTTTTATTAATCGCTCTGTCGATGCACTCAATTTTAGATACTTTTTAGCTAATTTTAAAGAAATATGTAAGCTATTTGACCGCAAAAATACTACGACGTCATAACTCAGTGTTTCATACAAATTTCATAGAAAAGTATCGTTTTTGACATTTGGATAAAAGTATTGAATTTGACTAGTTGGAAACTACCGTATTATTTCTCTTTCTTGACCCCCTTTTTTCCTTCGAAGCGGGAGATTGAGATGGACTATCGCACATTTTTTAAAAAAAAAACGTGCCCCCACTCTGGGGTTCTTCTGTATCTTTTTTTAATTGGTAGGAAGGCAACCGAGCTAATTGACTACCTGGTGGTAAGCAATCAGCGCCGCCTATGGTCATCCGCAACAACAGAGGACCTAACGAGGGCGTCGCCAACCTTTTGGGAGAGGTTGAGAGATTTTGGGATTCGGGAGGGATTGGGGGAGGGGAAAGATTGGGCCTCGTTTACTCAATAATCTTATTTCTAGACCAATAACAATACAAATTATAAACTTAACTTTTTTTATCATATCATACACTAAGATTTTCTCCTATGTCGTGGGTGCGTTTACAAACATGCAATTTCATATACACATCACACCCAGACCCGGAACAACAATTTTTGGATCACACAAAGAGTTGTTCCGTGCGGGGATCGAATCCTGTCGCGGTTTGCGCGGCAGCCAGTTGCCCAACCACCACGTCAACTGAGCAGATATATATTGGATGATGAGGAATTTCTTTTTATTTCCAGCTGTTATTCAAAATGACGAGCAACCAGTAAAAGATCCATTGGAAGTGCCACAGTCAGCTATCAAGAAGAAACCAAAACAGGTATGTTTATAGCCAATAGACCACCACAAACGGGGCCCTTTAGGGCTGATGTTCAGCCGGGGTGGAGGGGTTAGCGCAATGAGGCACCGCGACCTCGGCCCAGAGCAGGAGAAGGAACAGGGGGGTTTTTTGTCAGTAAGAGTCTGACACTGCCTCTCGCACTACCCTGGGCAAAAGTCATTTCATGATTTTCCCCTCACAAAAAATAATAATAATCTATTTATATAAGAAATAGCTTTTGCCCGCGACTTCGTTCGCGTGGAATAGTGACTTCCTGCAGATTTTTGGTTTAAAAACTATACTATGTTCTGTCTCGAGTTCCAAACTATGTCTTTACCAAATAGGTTCAGTAATTTAGGCGTAAGACAGACAGACAGACAGAGTTACTTTCGCATTTATAATAAGTATATATATATATATATATATATATATAGTTTGGATTAGCAATGGATACTTCCTCTGTTTATATGGACCATAATAATTTTAATGTTTAAAAAATTCATATTTTGAATACAATTACAAATACATACATATTCATTAATGAATACAATTCAATTCCTCTGTTGATTTGATTTGAACCCTAGTATATTAAGTTTTTGTTTCCATATTAATGTATTATCTATACTTAATATTATTTATAATTTATAAGTCTGTATGTAGGGGGTAATCTTTGGAACCGCTGGTCGGATTGCCAAAATTTTCACTGATAGATAGCTACAATGTTCCTGAGTGCTATAGGCTATAAAACATCACGCTACAATCAAATGGAGCCGAGTAGCGGGTGAAACAGGGTTTATGTCTATCCTGAGCAGAAATAAATGGTTTTTCTTTCCTTCTTTCTTTTTGTCCACCATGACATTTATATGGTATGACTTTAATATTGACAGGTGGTGATCCGACCTTCAGAAGACGACTGGTCTTCCTACGTGACCTCCCGCAATGGAAATAACGGTCAGATACAGCTGTGGCAGTTTCTTCTAGAACTGCTGACGAGCGCTGAATACTATGACGTCATTAGGTGGCACGGTAAGCAGACAGGGTTATTTTTTCAAACGAGCTGACGGATTACCTGATGGTAAGCAATCAGCGCCGCCCATGGACATACAAAGGATGTTACGAGCGCGTTTCTGGCATTTTGGGGGTTTTGGAGATTAAGGGATTGGTTTAGAATGGGATAGGGGAAGTATATATAAGTCAGAAAACGAGCAGACGGATTATCTGATGGTAAGCAATCAGCGCCGCCCATGGACACTTGTAGTACCAAAGGAGTTAATATAAGTGCGTTGCTGGACTCTTTTGGGTTATTAGGGATGAGGATGGGGGCTGATAGGGCCTTCAGTTATCTCACTCACACGGCGAAACACAACGCTGTGGTTGTTTCACGTCGGATTTCAGTGAGGCCGTGGTATCACTCCGGTCTTCCTGGACTTATAATTAGAAATCCAATTATAAGTCCAGGTTTCCTAACGATGTTTACCTTCACCGTATGTCAGTGGTGCCTAAATAATCATAGAAAGTACATATAACTCGGAAAAAGTCACATTGGCACTTGCCAGGTTTCGGACCCTCAAAAAATAGGCTCAATTGATTTCGAAATGTTTTTTCAGGTACCGAAGGCGAGTTCAAGTTGTTGGAACCTGAAAGGGTCGCTACCCTATGGGGCGCTCGGAAGCACAAGCCGGCTATGAACTATGAGAAGCTGTCCCGAGCCCTACGCTACTATTATGATGGTGATATGATCGCTAAAGTATCAGGAAAGAGGTAAGGGCATATTTTTTCTTACTTGCTATAAACTAGTGCTTGACTGCGATCCCACCTGATGGTAAGCAGTGATGCAATCGTTGATGGTAAGGCGCACTAGTAGTGTGTCGTGGTGGCTCCGAGGTTAAGCGCCCGCTTCTCATGCATGAGGTGTGGGTTCGAAACCAGGCAAGTACCAATGTGACTTTTTTCTACACTCGCGAGCAAAAGTATGGAATCAAAGAAAGAAAAAAGAAAGAAAAAAGTTTATTGACACAAACCATGTGCACACAGACACAGTAACAAAAAGGTTATTTAATATTAAAGAAAAAATAAAGAAAACTACATAACTGTGTGCCTCACGGCTGCGCCAAACAGGTCCAGTTCAGCATAAATGCCAGACCACTTGGGCCTGACGCTGGTTTTCAGCTGGACCTTTGTGCATGACGTGCTACGGATGCAAACCAGCTTTTCCATAAACATTAAAAATGTAGGTAGATACATAATCAATAAAAAAAGAAAATAGCTGCAATGGGGGTAGATATATAAATAAAATAAAAAGGAAGCGTGTACACACATTACCTTCACTACAATTTAGTAGTGAAGGTAATGTGTGACTAGGGAATGTATGACTTAGTTTATATATCATTACACATGTGTATGTACAAAGTCCCAACAGTGGCAAAACTCCGCCAAGTCTGTGTGTGTTGCGTGTTGTTAAATCAGCCTTGGTACTTTTTGTTGCTTAAAGTTTAAAACAAATAAATAAATAAAAAACGCAGTGATAAGTCAAAAATAAAACAATTGAATATATGAATCTAAATCTAAATGCCGACGAATTGTTAATCCTTGCATCATATCAACAGCACGCTGCAGGCGGTCGGGTGAAATGTCATTTGATGTATTTGTGTGGAGTGGACTTAAACCTATATAATAGAGACATTAACATTGACCATATCAAGTTCCCGTTGCGCTTCTATCAAGTACCGCCGTAAGCGACTTCTAAATGTGCCGATCGTGGTGACTGATCTAATAGGTGGTGGCAGATTATTCCACACTTTAGAAGCCGCATACCGGAAGCTGCCTCTAAAAGCAGCAGTACTGTGAGAGTTTGTTGACAGTTGTTGCGAACATAGCCTTCTTTCGCACTCGCGCCTACCAGTGATCCAGCTAAGCTTGGAATTGAATCCTCGCGATCTTAAGTTCTTAATAACTAGTTAAGAATAATAAAAATGGTACCATTTAAAAGGTTAAACTGTTAACTTTAAATTGATACCAAATTCATTTAAATCACACCAGTATTTAGGAGCTATCCCGGATTGAGTGAAAGAGTTAGGAAAACATAAGGATAATGGAATAAATAATGAATGAAGAAAACAACAAAAATTAATTAATAAAAATTTTATTTGGCCTTAAAATTAAGATTTAATATTTTGTGTTCCCTCCCCTCGCCCTAATAACTGCTTGAAGGCGGTTCTTCATTGACCTAATCAGCTTCTGTATCGATTCTTGCGGGATACCTTCCCACTCCTCTATCAAAGCCGATTTCAGCTCATTCACACTTGAAGGAGCAGGATTTCTGGAACGAACCCTCCTCTTCAGTTCATCCCATACGTGCTCAATGGGATTTAAGTCCGGACTGAGTGCTGGCCAGTTCATTGTGGCGATACCGACTTCTTCGAGATATTCAGTTGTGACACGGGAAGTGTGACAACGAGCGTTATCGTGCATAAGGATGAAGTCATCGCCGATATATCCCGCATAAGGGACGACATGTTCCAGCAGAATATCGGAAATATAGCGGTCTGAAGTTAGACCGCCTCCTCGTCCCCCGCCAGGCACGAAAACAAGCTCAGTTTTACCGTCGAAGGAAATGCCGGCCCACATCATACAAGAACCACCCCCATAAGCCACTGTCTCAGCGAAACAGCACTGCGCAAATCGCTCCCAGGCCGCCTGTAGACCCGACCCCTTCGGTCGCTGCCGTGCAAACACATTCTGCACTCGTCGGAGAACAGAACTCGCCTCCATTGCTCAACCTCCCAATCAAGATGGTAGCGAGCAAATTGAAGGCGTGCTTGTCGGTGACCTGCCGTCAGTTTCGTGCCTGTGGCAGGCCTTTTTGGAGTCAAATTAGCTTGCTTAAGTCTTCGACGAACTGTCCACTCACTGGCAGCTACCCCACGAACATTTCGGAGCTCCTGTTGGACGTCGACACCAGTCAAATGTCGATTTCTGAGAGAGGTTGACACGATGAAACGGTCATCTCTCCGATGTGCACCGACGCCGTCCAGATCTTGGTCTCGGGATAAAGCCACCAGTCTCCCGAAACCGTTTATAAACTTTCGAAACACAGGACTGGCTTATGTGGAGCTGACGTGCGACAGCCCGCTGGCTGAGCCCTTCTTGCAATAGGGCGACGATTTGTGCTGCTTCTGTAGGTGTAGTATCCATTGTCGTCCAAGTTCAAGGGTCTAAAGTAGCGGAGATGTGTACTGGTCAACGTGTGAAAGCCGACTGATAAAGAAAATCCGATAACACGTGCTTTTATAGGGGGTCAATAGGGCGCAACTCGTGACGTATCAAACAATTGAAACATATCTTTTTCCTTACTTCTTCACGTAATCCCGTATAACTTCTGAAATTATGGCGTGATTTAAATGAATTTGGTATCAATTTAAAGTTAACAGTTTAACCTTTTAAATGGTACCATTTTTATTATTCTTAACTAGTTATTAAGTACTTAAGATCGCGAGGATTCAATTCCAAGTAAGTGATTCCATACTTTTGCTCGCGAGTGTAGTTATATGTACTTTCTATGATTATTTAGACACCACTGACATACGGTGAAGGTAAACATCGTGAGGAAACCTGGACTTATAATGTCTAATTCTAAGTTTGAAATCGCCAACCCGCATTGAGCAAGCGTGGTGATTAATGCTCAAACCTTCTCCATGTGAGAAGAGGCCTTTGCAGCAGTGGGCACTTATAGGCTGATGATGAGGCGCACTAGTTAATTAAGAGCCTATTCACTCTAGCCTTGAAGACACCTAAATTGTATTCAGAAAGACTGCAGCCGGCAAACTGTTCCAATCCCTCGATGTACGCGGTATAAATGACGAGGCAAAACGCTTAGTCCGGGCCGCTGGTGTCTCGATTACGTAAGGGTGGATATTTGCCGTACGCCGGGATGTTCGAAGGTGAAATTGGGATGGGAAGCTGGTTGACCGATCACCTGATGTTAAGCAATCGGCCTGGACACTTGCAACACCAAAATAGTTACAAGTGCGTTGCCGGCCTTGTTTTGTATTTTTAAGGATTAGGGCAGGGAAAGGATTGGACCTCCGGTGACCTCACTCACACGGCGAAACAACGCTGTGGTTGTTTCACGCCGGTTTTCTGTGAGGCCGTGGTATCACTCCGGTTGAGTCGATTCATTTGTGCCGAAGCATGGCTCTCCCACACTTAAACGTTTACAAATATACGATTTCATATACACATCACACCCAGACCAGGAATGTCTTTTTGTGATCCACAAATTGTTGTTCCGGGTCTGGGTGTGATCAGGGTGGTGTGGGAATGGAAGCATCGAGCAGTCAAAGCTACTGTTGGAAACTAGTTTTTTTATGGAATAGGTGGCAAACGAGCAGACTGATCACCTGATGGTAAGCGATCGGCGCCGCCCATGGACACCCGCAACACTAGAGGAGTCACAGGTGCGTTGCCGGCCTTTTAAGAAGGAATACGCTCGTTTCTTAAAGGCTTGAAGTTCGTATCGGTTCGGAAATATCGCCGCCGTGAATAGTTTGTCTTACATTAAGTTTTATAACAATGTTTGTACGTTTGTTTGTTACAGATTTGTATATAAATTCGTTTGCGATCTACGCCAGTTACTCGGCTACGGCGCCGGCGAGCTCGCCGAATTAGTTAAAGAGGTACACGATACGGAAATCCAAAATGGCAACACAAATTACTCGGACAAATACAGAATGTATGACCTTGACGACTCCAGCTTACATTCAGAAAGAAAATAAAGGATGTGTCTTCATGTGAGATTATCGGAGGTCCAATCCTTTCCATCATCCCTAATCCATTCCCTCTCCCCTTCTTTAGTACTTTTCCCCATCTCTAATCCTTCCCCCTATCCACAATCCTTCCCCATATCCCCAATAGCTTCTATTACCCTATTGTTTCCCTCATCCCCCATCCCTTATCTCTAGTTCTTTCCCTTTCGTCAATTTCCCCTTCCTTAGTCAATCCCCCCATATCCCCAATCCACCCCCGTC